TTAGTGTAGTTGTTTTCAACCTGATCACTTTTTCAAGGTAAAAACTTAGATAAGGCATCAGTACTTAAATTTAGATATGATCTGGGCTTATGTCCATATGCAGTTAGTGTCTGTATAAGTTTAAATTTTACTTTTATATGAAAAACTTTTACTCTTAACTTTTACTCTAGAAAGCCCTCCTTTAAGTTTAAGGAGGAGCAGAATGTTAAGAGTACTTCTTGTGTATATATAAAAGAGAGTACTACTTGTATATAGAATATTCATTTATGAGAAGAGAGTAAATGATTTGGAGTGAGGGATGGGAAATAAAATATTTCTGGGCTTATCTAGAATAGTATAAGATGGAAGAGAAAGCGCTAACAGCTGAGATGGCTGGGCATTTCCTTGTCTCTCTCGCTCAGAGCTGGGTGTAAGCAAATTTTTCTCATACACTAACTCCGTGTTTTAAATGTATGTTTTAACACTCTCTGTGTATATAAAAATAACTGTGTAGATTCTGAAAGTTCTAATTGTACAGAATATAAAAGTTATGCCTGTCTGAATGCCTTGGTCCTGATGTTTGTTCTACACTTTATGTCCGTGTGCCAGTATGACATTTCATCATCCCCCATGCTTAGGCATGGGGAAAGCCTCCTTGAGCTCTGAAGTCCATGGGAGATCATGGATGGGAGGATTGTATTTATTCCAGTAGGATTGCCACAGTGGAAGACAGGGCTGAGAACCTACCTCCAAGTATTGTCCATCTCCTTAGCTCTGAGAAATAGCATTGGTCCTCAGACTGAAAAACATAGGCTTATCTGGTCTTACTGACCCCATTATTTTTGAGAGAGAACACTCTCCTCTTTCCCCACTTCCCTTGCTGGAAATGTTCGCTCCCAGACTTTGTGGGCTTTCCATCTCCCAAGTGACAGAGAGCTAAAACCCCTGAACACAGAAGATATTGAGTGAAACTGGAACAATGCTGACAACCAGCATCCTTTCTGCCTGCTCGTAACAACATAGTACAATAATCCTCAGCAGAAAAGAATTACAGAGAGCAGATGTGTATAATGGGTCTTGTGTGCGTTTGCAAATTATTGATCTACTGGAACATCATTTGTTCATTACACTGCTTTCACTGACCTGAGAACACAAACATGTTCTGGTGCTGCACAGACCTTTGTGGGGAGGGGGCATGCAGTACGGTTGATGTGGGTACCGCACTGTGAACTTGAAAGCTGGTGTGTATGCCTTTTCTGGAGAGTTGGGAAGTACAGAACTTGTGAATGATCATAGTGTTTAGTGGTTTATATTGTGTGTAGATTAGATGTGTATCTGTTGTTTATAGATTAAGTGATTTATGTTAGAAGGAAGTGTTTAATGTTGGATCTGTTTCTCAAGTCTTAGTGTGGTGGTGGCTTAAGCTTTTTGTGGACAAGTGAAGGTGAGTAGCTCAATGTTCTTTATTGTTCTTTCTAAAAGCAGTATAAAATATGCGTTGCATCTTCTCATTCTTGTGGAAAATAAACTATTTGATGAACTGTTATTTAACAGTTCATTACTAGCATAATTTTGCTTATGGTAAGAGTTTGGGGCTGGCTTTCTAAGGAAACAGTGCATATGATTGAATGACAGTACAGTTGTGGTTCCCCTTATTGTCTCTCCTTCTTCCTGCTTGAATAATTTCTGAACTCATTGGTCAATGTCAATCGAATTTATTAGAGTTCAGAAAATTGCTGAGATATCTAAGTTCCTACAAATATGAGTATCAGTAGTTAGAGGGAGATTACTGCTTTCCTGAAGAGAATGGCACAGAGCTCAGTTTACCCGTTTTGTTTTTCTGTCAGCTTTCTGGTCAGTTGGTTCCTACATAATTCTTGTTTCATCCCACTATGCGTTCTTTCTTGCTGGGGGTGTTGGGAGGAACAAGGAAGGCAGAGGAGTTAAAGCTGTTGTGGAACCAGTAGAGATTAGGGTATGAGGAATGCAGATCTAGAACAACTTGTTACTATTTCAAAATAATGTTGCAAATTGAAATGTCAGTGCTTGTATTTCCATTACAATAATTTACAAATATATGATAAATTTATAATATAATGACTATGTCAGATGCTTTTTGGATATATAATAGCTGGTCTCCATCCCAGAGATCTTCAACCCATAAAATAGAATCATAGAACAGCCCAGACTGGAAGGGACCTTGAAAGGCCGTCTGGTGCAACCTTTTCGTGGGAGAGGGAGCCTAGATGAGATTATCTAGCACCCTGTCCAATCACATATTGAAAACCTCCGGTGATGGGGACTCTACCACACGCTTGGGGAGGTTGTTCCAGTGATTGATTGTTCACTGTAAAAAATTTCTTTCTTATTTTGAGATAAAATCTCTCCCAGTGCAACTTGTACCTGTTGTCCCTTGTCTTCTCCATGTGGCTCCTTGTGAAGAGAAAGCCTCTGTCCTCTTTGTAGCTGCCCTTTAAGTACTGGACTACTGTGATGAGGTCCCCTCTGAGCCTTCTCTTCTCCAGGGAGAAAAGACCTAACTCCTTCAGTGTTTCCTCACAGGGCAGGTTCTCCAGCTTTTTGGTACTTAAACAAAAAACTATGAAGTCAGTATTGGAATGCTGTGAAATTCCCGATCTCTTTTAACCTTCATTTTCATATATAACAAACCCTGAGCTGTTGGAATCGACTGTCCATAGTTGCAAAGTTTAATTCCTGCAGAGTTAGGGCCCCTGGTGTCACCTTGGGCATGTAAAATGAAACCTCTGGTTATGGAAGTTGTGTGTTACATTGGCAATAAACAGCAAACTTAAATTACTCTCCTACTGGTGTATGTTGATCTTTCTCTCCCTCTGTTTGCTTCCTATTGTATGTCTGTCTGCAGTCTGTTTTATTTTGTTTCTCAGTCTCTCAAGTTTAAACATAGCTTTCTGTTCCTTTTCTCCATTTTACCCATCACTATTTAATCTGCATACTGCTAACTTCCCCCCCCCCCCCCCTCTCAAAAACCACAAGCCTTTTAGAATGGTTTTATGCTTTCTTTGGCATCCAACACAGGGCTAGTCTTGAGACTTCCCACTCCCTCCCCTCTTTCTGATGTGTCCAAGGTAAAGGAGGAATAAACTACCAATTCCTTTGGAGTACTGGTAAGCTGTGGAGGAGTATCTTCCCTTAAGTGGCTAAACATTTTCAATCCTTTTATACACTTTTCTGTCCCAGTATTTACAATATTTAAGTTTTCTTAGCTTGCAAAAAAAAACCCAAACAAAACAAACACCACCACCACCCCTCCCCAACCCGCCCTCTAGTTCTCCTTTACAAGTCTCGTCCTCCCGTTGCTGCCACAAGTGCTTCTCCTGTCCTTCCGCATACTCTGGGAAATTGAAGTAAGAAGAGAATCTGTGCTCTGCTGGTCTCTGTCGTGTTATCTTTTTAACACTGGAGTGTAAGAACTGCCTGTGCTGTAAGAATCAATAGTACACATGTGGAAGTTCAGAGAACTCTTCTCTTATTCCTTCCCCCCGCCCCCCCTAGGGCGAGGGTTTGCTTGCAGTTTTAAAAAATAGAAGCATAATACAGGTATTGCCTGCAACAGAGTACAATAAGAAGACATAAGCAAAGATTAAAGTGCTGATCTTCTAGCACTTAAGAAATGCTTTTGAAAGAGCCATACTACTAAGATAGCTTATTCTGAAAACACTGTATCAGTATGCATGTGATTTTAAACTTTTGTGGTGATGCTTGCTGTGCATGAAATTAGTATCGGCTGTGTTACCTGGCATTTGGAAGAAGGTTTCTGAGTCATGTACCACGCTTGGTTGCTCTGCCAAATTATGAGGAAAAAAGTCAGTATTTTTTTCATAGTTCTCTAAATTACAACTGATGGGGAGACTGGCTTACAAAAGTGCTATGGGTTTTTCTGCAGTGACATCTGTGGAGTGTATATATAGTAGGTTCCCAAGTTGGAAGCCAGAAGAGTATGTGGGAAGTGTGAAAGGGGGATGGGGAGGGGAGCAAACAAGAAATTCAGACAAAAGGAAATTGTTGATGCAAGTTAATGCCTTTTCTTAGTGATATTGATAAATTTCTGCTGCTGTTCAAGCAGTCTAAATTATTCTCCTTCTGATTCTGTTTCCTTTTGCTTTTCTCCTGTTGCCTGGAAAACATGAGTGGAATCTAGTAGGACAAGAGGCTGCTTTTTCATTGTTTCGTGGCTCTGTTGCTAGCTATTGTCCTCTTGGCTCAGGCAGTTCATGTCAGTCTTTGTGTGGAGTAAGAAAAATGTTTTTCCTTTTTCTTTAAAGATTAAGTTTCTAGACTGTGTAGATAGCTGTTATTTGAAAAGCAAGCAGTGCTAGCTTAAGAGTATCTCCTATCAACTAATGTATTTTTACTTGCGATGTCATCTTTAGCACTTTTTTCATTCGGATGTGCTTATTAAATTTGTGGGCTAGTTTGGGGGTAAAGCAGTCTTGAAATCTAGTTTCATTTTTTAAGGTACTTTGTTTAAAACAAAGGAACTCTAAGCAAGACGGTGCATTTCATGAATTTTTCTGTCAGGAATAAAAAACAGATCGCTGACAATGTTGTATGTTTTCGACAGTGGGAAATAGAGCCAATTTTGCTCTTAAGTAGGAGCAGAGCTCTAATACCCGGTAAAGTAATGCAGCCTTGAGCAGTGTCACTGAGATCTTGTCTGTTGTGGCTGACTTAACTCTGTTCTTTATTACATCACTGATTATTTATAAATGAAAATTGTTTTTGAGGACATTCTTGAAACAGAACTGTAGCTGTTTGCTCGTATGAAAACGCACTCATGGATGCATAGGATAGTGCAAAAAATGAGACATGTAGTTCTCTTGTCAGTAACAGTTCTTGCAGGTAGTATTTATATGATCCTACTTCTTCATTGCCTTTATTTTTGCTGTACTAATTGATTGTATGGTGGTACAGAAAATATATTGAAAATGAAAGATACTGTAACTGATTATCTGTTGTGTTTTTTTTTTTTTTTTTCCCCCTCTTTCAGGCATCTATTAACAAGCTAAAAGTGACAGAACCATGGCTCAGTTTCCAACACCTTTTGGGGGTAAGTTGTTTATAGTGTATTCTGAACTATTCTTACATGCAAAAATTCTGCATAAATGTGTTGCTTTCCAAATATGTTCTGTATGGACAGTGTTTATGGATAGTGTATCTTTCTGAGATGATAGTTTATCTGATTTGTGATGTTTTTGCAGGCCCATTAGAGAATACACGTGAAATTTTGCAGAGATATCTCGGAAGAGTCAAACAGAAAAGCTGTGCTATATTCCTTTTTGTGCATTGATCCATTATACAGTCCTACAGTTTGTAACTGTAGGGCAGATACAGGCCACTCAGCCACTGGCAGTAGGGCATAGCCTCATTCTGCAGTTACCCAGTTTTATTTGCCTGTCTTAAGCTTCCCTACTCAGTCCTGACAGCTTTTTTCATGTTTTTTCAGAGGAAATTCTAAAATGCTATTTAAATGTTGTAAGTGTATAACGTGTATAAGTGCTAGTTGTGGCTGAGAAGTGGATATGCTTTTTCTTTGAGGATTCCTGGACTTTTTCATTGCTAAAAAGTACAGCAGATGCCTTTAGATGCTATTGCTTCAAATTTCTTTTTCTTTTTGTCCCATAACCCATGTTTAGATTAGAACAAAGGTGCTGCATTTTTTTAGCTCTCCATTTATAACAGGGGAAGGTATAGCATCTTGAACTAGTCTTTTTGAAAGATCCAGGAAGGGCCCTGGTACTGCAATAGAGACTTTACTTTTTGCTATTCACATGACGTACATTTCTAAGCCCATTTTTGCAACCGATCTGAAGAAAGATTACAAAGATAAGTTTCAGTGCTCAGAACTAGTAACCAGTTTCGTTCCACTTAAATGTTGCATCTGTTAAGGGCTTTTCTCTGGAGATGCAGATATGATGCTTGCAGTGTGTGTATGTATGTTTGTGTACACATATATACACATAAATATGCATACACACAAAAAAAATTGTGTGCATGTATATAAGTATATATGGAAGACTAGTTTTTGGGATCGGATACAGCTAGGAACTAAATTTGTATCTAGTGTTAGTGTTTCAGTGGGAGACTTCAGGAAGAACGCATGTTATTCAGAATACGTTGTTAGAGAAACCCAGTTCTTGTTGAACACAATTGATTGGATACAATCTCTGCCAGTCTGAAAAAGTCCGTGTAGCACAACAGAAGAAGCATCTCTTTGCATGTGGTAGCTAGAACAAACATATAATCGGAAGCTGCATTCATTGCCTCAGTTATCTTTAAGTCCAGCCCTCTGGAATTAAATCTTGTTTGGTGCCAGACTTTCTCAGTCTGGGAGTGAAACTGGCTGTCAAAACCTTTGATCAAATAAACTCACTGGACAGTTTCACATAGGATACCCTTTCAGGTTGTATAAAAAGTTGTGAATAACTTCATTTCTTGCTAATTTTCACAATCTAAGAGAAGTCATGATGTGAATGAAGTCTGCTGGTTCAGACTGAAGTATTTCCTTTTGTTTAGAGTTAGGGCTGTGCTTTGCATGCACCCATATTTAAACACGTACATACGTTCTTAATGGAAAATCTTGTCTTCAAAGCATTCTCGTCTGCCGTCTTCAGAGAGTTCTCATTGCATTACAGATGGATAGCAGCTTTCTTTTTTCAACTTTATATATTACCATTTGATCTTGCATACGTTGTCCAGGATCCTGTTAACTCTAGTACGTGGCATTAGGAAGGAAGGAATTCACTATTTCTTCTCAAACAACTTTTCTTATCTGACTGCTCTACAACGAGGAAGTTGAAATAAGGATGAGGCTAATGTAGTTTCTGGAGTATCTTTAATTTTTAGTGTGGTGTGAGGGAAGTTTGTTATGATATTCATACTTGAGCCAAGTCTACCAAGTAGCATTATACTACTTAGAAGAATGACAGCAAAAGTCTAAGGTTGTTGTAAGAGGAAACAAATGGTGTACAGGAAATTCCAATTTTTATGGGGAAATTCATCATCCTTTTGAGAATGCAACATTTTCTGTTAACCTGTAGTCACCAAATGATGCAGAGGAGAAGATTTACGCAGTCTCCATCTTGGGAGAGCCCTCACTCCAAATGTGCAATATCTGGTATCCCTCTGCTTGTGAATACCAATAATGATGGTTTTGGTTTTTATTTCACTTCCTTTCTTTTTAAAGAATCTTTCAAGTCAGCTTGGGAAATGGGTATGGAAAGAGCACAGCACCCACTATTTAAATTGGGGTGACTCATTGATATTCCCGAACGCTGCTCATTTTAAGGATGACTAATTTAAAAAAAAAAATAGGCATGGTAGAATTTTTATAATTGTTGGGAAGAATGTGGTATGCTCGACCTTCTGTCGATTTGTCCAGGAGAAGAAAATGCCCATTTCATATATGAGAGCCCACTGTTCGCTTCTGCAGATGAGGTGATTGCTAAGCCATGTAAAAGAAAAGATGGTTAGAGGGCTTGCTGCTGCATTCAAGAATAGCTTGCTTATGAGTCAATTTTGTGGTTTGGTGACAGCCTCCTTTGTATCCAAATATATTGCAAAGCCCCAGAACCTCTGTGTTGGCATCCAGGATCTGAAGCCATGAATGATGTCTTGGTGTCTGGTAAGATCCTGCTTCATGCCCTCCCATAGGTCTTATTGTTTCCTCAAATAACAAAAGATGGAAACGAGGCAATGCCAGAGATGCCATTCATACTTTTCTGACTGAAGAGGCTACTAGGCTTCCTTGGTTTTAACATTGGCTCTTTCGATGTTCATATCCCACAAAGGAGATCTACTGTTTCAACACCAACCAAATCTCCATCTGGAAGAGTAAATACTGACAATCAGTTGTTCTAGTTACAGGGACTCCAGAGAAGAAATCAACAAATTTTGTTTTAAAATAGTTAATAGAATGCATTTTTAGTTACCTCATGCCATAAGAGTTTTTAGTTCTGGGTTTTATTGCCTTCTTTGCAGAAGGATAGGAAGAGCTGGGGTTTTTTGTAGTTATGTTTTTTGGGGTTTGGTGTTTTTTGTTGGGTTTTTTTTTTTTTTTGTTTTTTTTTTTGGTACTGGAGTCATGCATACCTCAAATTGAGAGAGAGCAAGCCAGCAATTCATTGCAAATTTCATATTGGTTTGGAGGTTTTTTGTGTTTTGTGGGTTTTTGGTTTGTTTTTTTCCTCCCCACATTGTATGCAAGACATTCTCCCTCTTTGTTTAAGCTACCACATCCAGCCTTAGGCTCTTAGGCTGGAGCAGCGATGTTTCCAATACAGGCAGATGTTCATCTGCTCCTGGTTGGTCTAGACTAGTTGGCCTAGTCTGCATATTGGTCATAAAGTCTTAATCAACACCATTCCTTTCCTCCTGTCAGGAGTTCATGAGAAGATGGGGAGATAATTGCTTACGTGAACTATTGTGTTTTGGGATGTTCATAACCAAAGAAGTGTCCTGTTTCATCCCCACAGGGAGCAACAGCTATGAAATCTGTTTACAGTGCCTCTGTGAGCTTAATTACTAAAATTCTGGGGGTTTTGGACGAATCTTAAAACGTCCTTTCTTTGAATTAGGTATTATTAGCCTGTCTGCTCTTAGAAATACATAGGTTACTTAAAACTGAGATGATACTTTTTTACCAAGAATGTAGTTTTTCTTTCATTAATGAAATCTACCATTTAAAGGAATGTTTTTCTTCCCCTTGTCCATTTCCTTTTCTCTCCAAAGTACATTTTGCCACATGAATTTCTTCTATTTAAAAATCTACTTTCAGGGGGCAGGAAATTCTCATGTTCTTCATAACGGCTGAGTTTGATTCTGCCTCAGCCTGCAAGCAGTTTGAAATTCTTGCTGTAAATATTTGTGGACCTTATTACCTGAAATTTAATCTCTGAGAATTTAGTGCTGCGACAGAGTGAATGCTAGATCTCCTCTTTATTTTTCTACAAGTCTACATTTTATCTTTTAATATTAATTCAATAAAACAGTGATTCCATTAACTTAGATGCCTTCGTATCATTACATTCCTATACAGTAGGAGTTACGGGAAGGTGCACCAGTATAATGTACTTCTATGGATGTTGAAATCATGATGTTTTACTGGTTAGAAATTGTTGAGACAAACCTGAAACAGTGTTAGAGAGTTTCATTGGAGGTCTCAAGTGGAAGCTGAGATATGTTTGCTTTGAGTACAAATAATTTGAAGGATGAAAGTAAATGTCTGCAAGACGAGAAAGAGAGGAGGGGAGGTGCTGCAAAAATGGAGGTAGAACTGGAGAAAGCGTTGTGGAAGCATGGCATTGTAGAAGGGTAGTAAATCTCAACATACTAAATAGTTACCTGCAATTTATGAGTGTGGTGTAAAGAATCTGGTCTGTGTAACATGTTCTTACTCGGCTTTCTCATTCTCAGAAGAATGAGGAGCATGCTTTCCTGTGCTATTGTTGCCCATGAAAAATGTTTACTATCTGGTTGAATCACACCTTTCCTAGACAAGTAAGGAGAGTTCTTCTCTTATAATAGTACAAAACCACATGGTACACAACTGATTATATGAGATACCTTTTCAGTTAAAAGAACTTGAATTGCATTTCAGCTGCATGCTCTGAGAGGGAAATGACCTCCCAACCCCTAAATATCTAGTGTTACGAACTTTCTGCACTATATCCTCTGGTATGCTGATGTTGTCTTTTAATAGTCCATTTGTAAGTTTGATTGCACTTTGAGTAGCCTAGTTGTAACTTAAGAGCCAGATAAGTGAATCAGTGCTCAGCAGTCATCTTAATTTGGTAACAGTTCTGGTAAGTTCATGAGTCTTAACTGGCTATTTAAGGATTCATGGAGCTTTCAACTATAGGCCTTGGATGAACGGCTTCTGTGTGTATGTTGTTTTCAGAGGTCCAGTATGATATGATATAATTACACTCAGAAATAAAAATAGTGTAGTTTTTAGATAATGTTTCTTAATTTTATTTCTCCATTTCTTTTGAACTAGGCAACCTGGATATCTGGGCTATTACTGTGGAGGAGAGAGCTAAACATGATCAACAGTTCCATAGTCTGAAACCAACCTCTGGATTTATCACTGGTAATGAAATAGTTTTAACTTCTAATTTCATTTAAGTAAATCTTAACTAACAAGTCTAAATATGTACAGAGTTGCCTAGGAGACATTTGGGCATAAGAATTTAAAAAATTGAACAGATATTACTCATTTTATATTCTGTTTTTCATATGCCTTACCACATCAACCCATCTTTTCTGATATTTTCTGATATTTTTCTGATATTTACCAGCTATACAACTGGTTTATGCCACTTGATTTTTCTGTAAATAGGATTAAAATAACGGTGGCTCTGTAAAGCAGTTCTGTTGTGTAGAGCCAGCTGATACTTACAAACTGTAGAGTTAGAATTCAGGGTGTGGAATCACCCTGATGTCTGGTAATATTTATAGTGCTTTTAATGTGCTCGGTAAATTAACTCACTGTACTGAGTCTGGCTGAGATGGAGTTAACTTTCTTCATAGCAGTCTGTATGGTGCTGTGTTTTGGATTTGTGACTAAAGCAGCATTGATAACACATCAACATTTTGGCTATGGCTGAACAGTGTTTGCAAAGACTCTCTACCACACCACCATGCTCAGCAAAAACTGGGCGGGGGGGGCTGTTGTCTTCCAGGGTAGCCATTGCTCAGAGACTGAGCTTGAGGGTGGTGAGTGATTACCTTTGCATCACTTGGGTGTTTTTTTTTTCTTACTCTTTCACTTATTAAACTGCCTTTATCGTGACCAACGAGTTTTCTGAGTTTTCTCACTTTTGCTCTCCCTGTTCTCTTCCCCATTCTGCTGGAGGAGGGGAGTGAGTGAGTGAGTGGCTGGGTGCTTAGTTTCTGCCTGGGGTCAACCCACCATGCTAACATACTAACAGATTAAGAAGTCCGTTTAAATAAAGATGTATCAATTTAACTGAAATCTGTTTCAGAAACTGATCGTTTAAACTAGTGAAATCAGCATGGATGACCTTGAAAAAATCTAAATCGCAAAATTGATTTAAGTTGTGGGAAGCAAAGCTGCAAGTAAAGGAATTGCACTGATCCTACTAAATTTTCATTGAACACCACTAATTTGCTTTGGTTTTAAAGGCAATAGGATGCCTACTTCTTGTTACTTTGTTTTGTTGCATTTAATTTTCTTTAGGGCTATCTAAACTCTGATGCTCAATTGAAATGAAAGGTATAGAAGTGTTTTACTTTTCTTGCTGTCTGATCCATCAAGACGATTTCCAGAGTGTGAAATCAGAATCAGATTCTTAGCAGTCTCATCACAGCCATGCATGCCCCCAAGTATACAATTCAATTGTTTCTGCTCCTGTTACATGACAGATACGGTACAAAAATACTACTGTTGTTATTGAGCTCCTTTGATATTTAGTGCTATTTCTAGTCTGTTTACAACTTTCCTTTACAGACCACAACATTTCCAAATGCCTAATCCTTTTGTAATTGTTTTGCTATCCTTACTTTTAATTGATAGTTGGAAAATGACTTTGAAATATACCATTGCTTTCTTTAATGGTGGCTTATCAGGTTCTCATCAGGGTAAAGACGACTTTATTTAGTTTGTGCTAGCTGACCGGCATTGTACTTCCAAAAAATCTAAGATAGAGTTTATATTGATACATACTTTCTCTGGAAGAAAAAATTTTCTTGTTCTCACAAGGCATATGATTCCTGCAAAGAGAGCCATTAACACAGATTAGGGACTGTGAACCATGAGTTTCCTATTGCCCTAAATGTTTATGCCCAGTTGACTTCATGTGGTGCTGACTGTTGCAGACTTAAACAGTATGTGCTTGTTGGAAATAATCTGGTAGGTTTGCAAGTGACAAAGTACGTTTAAATCTCATACTCTGTTATGTACGTGTAGCATTAAGTATTTTTGGTTTTACTGTTGCTTCTGTTTTAGATATTTTTGACTCATGATTTCCTCTTTCTTCTTACAAGTATTTTTAGCATTTTCTGAAATGATGTCCTATTTATTTTATAGGTGATCAAGCTAGAAACTTTTTTTTTCAATCTGGGTTACCTCAACCGGTGTTAGCACAGATATGGTGAGTATATGGGAGAATTGCAGTTATGTCACAGAGTGAAGTCTACTGGTACAGGCTTGGACAGTAACTATATTTCACATTGTGGGGTTTAAAATCACCTATTTAGTTCAGTGTGTTTTCCAGAAGTCTACAAGGCAAACGTGCTTTGTAGTATGTTTTAGCTGAGCGTTTAAGTTACTAGTTTAGTTATTGGAAGTAGCCATCCTTCTACAAATGGCATTTTTGAAGTTGGCAATTTGCAACCCTCATTTCAAATTACTAAATGCTTTCAACTTTATTAAAACTGTACTAATACAATCACTAAGCGCAGTAATTAGTATTAAAAAATCTTCTAATGGGAGAGCCTACGCAAGGCTTGCAAAATTTGTTGCAAAAATGAAGACTGGCATAGACTATTTCCATTGTAGTTGGAGATACAGCTTGAAAGCTTGAAATTTTTACTATTCCTTGGTGAATTTAGACAGATCTCCGTTGCTGTATATTACACATCACAAACATTTCTACAATCTGCCAGTTTCTTCATGCAGGATTGCAATTGTTTCTGCTCCAAATTATATGACCCTTCCAGACTTGGACATGCTAACTTGCATAGATTATTCATAATTTACATTAATTGTATTACTACTAAAACTTATTTTGGTGCTAGACAGAGTGAAATAATATTGTTTTTCATTCTAGATTGGAAAAAGCAGCAGAGAGATGGATAACTTTCGAAAAATGTTAACTTTTCCTCTGTTGTTAACTGTTTGAAAGAGAGAGTAGTTTATTGCAGTTATAAAAACTTTTTGTTGTAGTAAGGGCTTCTAAGGGCAGAATCTTGCTCTGACTGGAGAAAGAGGAGAATTATTTTCTTGCAAGAAAAACAATTGCTTTGGAAATATGCATGCCTAAAAGAGGGGCTGGATTTTCATGGCTTTTAAATAAATAGCTTAATTTATTTTCAAATTATCTTCATCTTACAAATATAAAATCTGGTCTGGTTATCTTATTTGTTAAAGACTCAGTGAAAATTTAAATGTTGCTTTGGAACTTCTCTTGCCTCTTAATTAAACAAAGAAAGAAGTTTTGTCTTACAACATCCTTTCTCCAAAACGTTCCGTAGGCATTAGCTTTAAATAGGTGTTAACAAAACTAAACAGTTGTAAATAGTCTGACTAAAAATCTCTTGGTCTCTGAATTATTCAGTTTTTCAGCCTCTTGAGAGGGGGAGAATCATTCCACTAGTTCTGTAGTTGTCATAGAGACAAGACTTGAACTTGCCCTTTTTTTTTAAATAAAGCTGAACTAAAACTTATTCATGTTGCCTTTATAAATCATAAAAAAAGCATGTAGACATCCCTTTCTCAACGTCTGTCTTCTTTTTTCGATCATCTCTGAATTAAGAGAAGTAAATATTTAAGTAAAAATCTAGATCACATGTATATATTCCCAGTTGGAATTATAATAACGAAATAGGAAAATAATTGCATGGTGGTAGTAAGACCCCTTAAAAAGAAAAAAAAAAAGGGGAAAAAAAAAAAAAAGAAAGGCAAACCCCCTTCTTTTCCCACAATTCGAATGATTTAACTTTTTTGATCTATCAGTGAATGTTTGTTTGTAACCTACCACAGATTACTGCTGTCCCACAGAAACAATAGAAGTTAGACTGTTTAGTGGCAAGAAGTCCTTTGCAGCCTCCAAAGGATGTCACAATATGCTCAAGACTGCATTGAAAAATGTGAATCATTGTTTGTCTTAGCTCCCAGGGGTAAGATCTCGAAGTGGCATACTTGCTTTGTGGGTTAAAAGCAATATTCTAATGTTGTCTATCTAAATCTCTATTAACATTGATACAGATCTGTGAGTACTTTAATAGAGGGGGGAGTTCTGGAGTAATAAGCCCAGAATCTCTGTGAGAGGTACGAGCTGCATAAAACTTCTATCAGTATTCTTTATTTCCTGAACAGATGGAATTTTTTTTTTTAGATAGCATTTGATTATTGGAGGGAGAGAAGGGGAGGTACAACAGTCTTTAAGGAGGAACGTTGTTATTCTGAGTTAGATCAACTTGTAAAAGTCTCGAAATTAATTTTCTGATCCTAGAAAAATGGAAGTGTATGTATGTTGTGTTTTGGAAGTGTTTTCCCATTCTTAATGAGTCTACTTATTTTGAATACAGTTGATCATATTAATCTGTCTGCAGGATAGGAGCCTAGCATTTGTTTCGTAAAGGATTACCTACAGCTGTATGTAGACAAGCTTATGTTAATACAAAGTTTCATCTGCTTTGTTGACTATGGAAGTTCTTGTATAGAAAAACACAACTGGGAAAGGAACTGCAGGGGGGATTGGCCTAATGAGTGCCTGGCCATATTGCTTTCAGAGCTCTCTGCAGAAATAGCAAGCCCTCTATTTCTATGAGTTTCCAAACATATTATCTCATGAGTGAGAGAATTTTGTTTGCCTAAGTGAGTAGTTCAAGGATTTTTGCTGTCTTATATTTTAATTTTAATTAAAATTGAATTGCCATTTTTGTATTATGAAAAAATAGTTTTCACTAGAACTTCAAGAAATGTTAGCTAGCTAGCTGAAGTACCAGTTAAATGTCTTCTGCCTGAAGAGCTGCTTTGAGAATATTCTGCAGTTGGCGTAATTGTTTTCTAAGACTCTAAGGAGTATATCTTATTTTGATTTCTGCTGTTAATCAAAGCTTTCCCAGAATTCATGTTCCTTAAAAATAGTAGCTCCATGGTTTTTAGCATTGAGAATTCCTGTGTCCCTTCTACTTATCATTCATTTAAGAAAAAAGAAGTCTCTGGGACCTCAGTGGAGCGAATTAGTGGAATTATTATGGTCTGTCATGACAACTTCTTTACTGTTCTACCCTTTACAAGCTTTGGAGTCTGCCAAGCTGGTAATCTACTAAGAAGCCTCTAAGTAGGCTTTGAATTGAGACTGCAACAGCTCGGAAGATAACTGTTTTTAAGTAGGCAATAATCTGGCTTTCTTTTAATGCCCTCATGAATGGTGGCCTCAAAAAGCATCTTCTGTGTAGCCTGTCTCTCTGGAATTAAATGAGAACTAAAATAATCAATGCCATCTGTTTTTCATGCATTTAGAGTTATTTATTTTTTTCAGGATGAACTAAAGCCATTGGTTGACTTACCTATTTCTGACATATGTTTCCATCAACAACCTTCTTAAATTTGTGTCCAAGTGTGGGAGTGAAAGATTATGGGTGGCAATTCTGTGAGTTGTAACTATTACTATACATGCATTGATTAAGTGACTGATGCTAAAGACCGAATTTCTGCCATTATGGCTGAGTTTTTACATGCAATATGGGATTGTATAATATGGGAATGTAAAGCTAAATAAATCCAGATTTTTGAACTGCAAGGAGATTTCCTTGTTTTAACACTCTGTGCTATTTTCATGGAGATAGATGTTTTGTAGGCTAATCATAAGCATATTTGCTGGAAAAAACTGTGCATGCTCAGTTTCTGCGCCTCATAAATGCAGAAATAATCAAGTTGTCTTTGCATTCTGCAGAGAAGAGGAGAGAAAGGAGGAGGAAAAGATCTGTAGGGGAAGAATTTTGTCAGCACCTGAAACCTAGCATTGTGATGAAGCCCACTGCATTCTCTCCCTGTTATAAACACAGGCCTGTTCTATAAAATACAATAAATATTTAGTCAAGGTTTAATCCATTTACTGCTCTGCAGTGATTCTGGCCAGACCTTAGATGAAACAAATTTAAGCACACTACATTGTTCCAAATTTCATTAGAAGCAGAACAGTGCAATTAGGTAGTGTTTACTGTCAGCCACTCACTGCATTTAAGGTGATGTTTATTCAAAAGTTGCACTGTAATTTAACAGCATGACACTAGGTTCAGTAATTAGAAATGGAAATTTGTCCTGTTTTTGCACTGAAGATTTTGTCAGACAAAAGCTGATTTTTGTTAGCATGCTGTAAAAACATGTATAAATTCTGTAGTGTGTACATAATTTTTCTCACTGAAATTTGTGCTGTTAATTTAAATAACAAAGCCATTGATGTAGAGTAAATGAGTTGAACAGAAGGTCAGATGTTAAATTAAAGGCTACTGATGATTATGTGAATAGGAGTTCAATTAAAGCAATGAGACTGGTGCACATCAAAGTTTCTTATTACTGGACAATATTTTCTCATGTAGAATGCGAAGACTCTGTTCTAGCAGTACACTCTCTAAGTAGTGCCAGTGTGATATTTACTCTTAGGGCATTTTCATGGCCATGCATATGAGACGTTGAGGGACTCTGCCTGTGCTTTAGTAATAGAAAGGCTTATATTTTATAAATCAAAGTATTTGCAGGTGTAGAAGCCACTTAGGTTGAACAAGTAAGACTGTTATAAATACAATTTGTGTAATTACTTTGCTTAAATGCAAAGATGTAAGGAACATTGTGACTATTTATTTGAGTTGTTGGTGCCAGTTGGTCACTATGGAGCTGACTGACTTCTCCATATGTTGAGGAAGGAGTTGTCTTCGGGAGGACCACTGACTGCTTGGAGTGCAGTCAAAAATCTACTAGAATAGGTTTATCCAGATCAATTTCTCTAGTTTTGTTCCTATGCACATCCCCAGCTTGCTAGCTGTATAAGCCTGTTTTTTTACGGCCTGTTTCCACTGCACATCTGACAGAAGAATGGCTAAGCAAGTGTTGAACTAAACTTTCATTAAAAAACCCACACATTTTCCCTCTTGAATATTTTTGAATTCTCATTAGCTGCCTTCAAAAAGGTGTGGTGTCTGCTTGTAAGTGTCAATTAAATGAAGCTAATTATCTGCTCCTGGTTTCCATTGTTCTTAATACTCTGTAATTTTCTAATGAGGCTTTCTTACCCTCGGTATTCATTCACTGTATGTTGGTTTACTTTCTAGTGCAAAACCCACAAAAGGGAGCACTTCAGGAAATACATTTAGCCATTAAGTTTCTGACATTCTAACACTGCAAATACCTTTTGCCTCTTGAATATTTTGGGTTTGTAAGACTTGCTGCATTTATTTCTCCCAAGTGAGACTTCAAATCTAACATCACTGTTTATAGGTGGTGACTAATGGATGTTACATGAACTGTTCTGGTTGCAAAAAGTGTATGAAGAAGAAAATGAAATGTACTGAGTAATACTGTTCCTTGTAAGCCTGAGTGATGATTTTGTGCAGCAGCAATTCTGCAGCATGTTGTGGGACACTTCCATGCTATTGTTGAAAAATAGACAGAGTGGATATTCTTAATTGACATAGTTAAACTATGAATTCCTTCAAAATGAATTTGGGCTTTTTACAGGAATTTTAAGTTGATACATTTCTGATGTAGAGAAAGTTTTAGAGAGACACAAACATGTCTTTTTGAGGTTTATACCCATTTCATTGTATAGGAGGAAAAGCACTACATACTGCATACATGCAGTCTGTTTGCAGGTTTGCATATAGTGGCTTGTGGCATGTACACCCCACTGGACAGAAAGATATGATGGAAGCTAATAAACTCTTAGTATTTTTATGTCCAGAGAAAGCCATTGCACTTCAGAATAAACAGAACATCGATAATCTCAGTAATAAAATGTGAGAAGCCTACTTTGTGTTTTTAACTATTTTCTAGAAGTAACTATACTTCTCATCTTGAAGTATACAGTTTTCATTAACAGCTATTGCAGTCTATCCTTGCTGTGGCTTAACACTCATAGGAGAGAGGCTCCTCTGCCTTCACTAGGGTTCTTCTCCCACTTGTCTCTGCAAGTTGCATGAAGATAAAAACATTACATCTTCCACTTCAAGTTAGCCTGCCAGTACATCAGGAGGTACCAGTGTGTTGCTTGCTCTTCATGGAAGAGTGATCGGAAGCTGAGACTCTACAGCAGTGGTGTTCTGCAAGGAAGAGGAGATACCCATTCCAGATTGGTACTTCTCACTGTCTAGGTTTGCCATGCTGGCCTTCCCTCTTTCTTCTGCTGGTTGGACTACCATATATCAAGTTTGACTGCTACAGTGGGATCTTTTTAACTGATTATTTGTCACATGAATCACATTCTAAGCAATCATGACTGAAACTTGAATCCAAATCACATTATGCTATGTGGGTCCCAGAATCAGTTTTGACTAAATTTAGGCTTCCAAAGACTTGCTGGTAGTGGGATTAGAGGTAGGTTTAAAGTTACTGAAGAGCAGGCAGATTTTATGTGTAAATTAAACTTCCCTGTGATACAAAGCTTCAGGAAACAACACCTAGAAGTTCTCCCAGCCAAAATTTGTTCTTCAATGAAATATATGTAGTAATTCGACATCTTTCAGGGAGTGGTGCAATGCATACTTTTCTTTTTAACTGTAAGCCTCAGAGTCTACAGTTTCCTCACCAGACTTTATCTTTCTTCTTTAAATACTGCTGCCAGATTTTCGGTAGTATTATTTAGCCTTGTAACATCAAAATTGGTGGATTAAGACAGACACACCACTGAAAATGCTGTCTTAGGAGTATTGGGAAAGGTTGGACTGTCTCCATTTTTGGGGAAATGCTACTGGTGATCTAAACCAGGGGAAACTCTTAAGATGTATGGTTGACCTGTGGCAACCCCTGCTGGGATCTGCCTCTTCGCTGAGTTTTCCTAGGGTTTTTTTGGTTGGGGTGGGAGGGGTTTTTCCATTTTGTGAATGCTTTGCCACTGCATTTCCTTGGCTGTCTACTTATTTAAGTATCAATTATAAATAACTGTCAATTTATCGCAGTACTTTTTTTGATAACTTTTCACATACTTGCATGAAAATTTTCCTTGACAGGGATTTGATGAGAAATACAGCTGTAGTTTAACTAGACTGCGTGGATCCTTTGTATTGTCATGTCCGTGACATGTAAATGTACGCATGAACTTAAAAATATATGTTATTCCAGTACTGAAACGTGTACTTAATTCTTCAAATGAATACAAAGAAATAAGCATAGTGTTTAAAACTAAGTTTACAACTGATTACATTATTAATATGCATTTACTCTGTTTTTTGGTTTGCAATTGCAGCAACTAACATTCTTCTTCCTGCTTCTCTCCCCCCAACCTCCCAACCCTATTCCCTGCTGAGCATGGTTTTCTTAACCATCAAATGAAGAAACAAAAAGAAGACTGTTTAAGTCAGACTACTTTACATGAAAGCCTATTCAAGGTCTAGGCTCAATGTTTTATCTTGAGTACTATTGTTTAACTGAAAACACATTTGTACACTTGCAGATGTAATGGTGTTTACTAAAGTGCACAGATTTAAAGAACACTTTATTTTAAATGTAGCTAAAGTACAGATTTGCAGACTAAGTAATTTTGATTCCCTGTGGTGCTGTTTGTAGTACCATGTAGTTTCATTCGTGTGATTTTGCAAAGTTTTGTAGAACTACATTAATCCTTCTTCTCTAGATGCTTCACTGTAATTCCTCTAAGAGTTGAAAAGCGACTTTAAAAATATTTATTAATCACTCCAAGAAAGAAATCCAGAAGCTCTCGGTTTAAACAGTGACTTGTTTCATGACCATTTTTAGCCTGGCATAATTATTTTGAGTGGAATTAATTAGTCTTGAATATACATGCCTGTGTGTGCACGCTCCTAGGTCAGTTCCTGAAGTTCATAATTTAAGAATCTAACTGTGAAAATTGTGTATTTTTTAGGGCTCTAGCTGACATGAACAATGATGGGAGGATGGATCAGTTGGAGTTTTCAATAGCTATGAAACTTATCAAATTAAAACTACAAGGTTATCAACTCCCATCTGCACTGCCTCCTGTCATGAAGCAGCCACCTATTGCTCTGCCTAGTGCACCAGGATTTGGTAAGCTCTTTGTTTTCCTCCTTGTTAGCTTGTATTATAGCAACCTAAGTTGAATGTGATTGTTTTGCAGTTTCTAAAAGAAACTTTTAGGAAAAAGTACTTCTAAAAGTACACGGACTCAAAACCAAATGCTTCCACATGCATGCACATGCTCAAAAAAAAATCTCAATGAGCTTTTAGCACCCAACTGTATTGAATAACATAAGTTGAGGTCCTGTTTGCTTCAGGTCTTACACTGCTCCCCATATGTTCCAAACAAAAGTGTTTGCGGGGAAAAAAGATGGATCAGGTAGCAGGGCCAGTGCATTCCAAAGTGATGGAGTTTTTATTTAAACTATTGTTATTTATCTCTGTTTTTCATTAAGGGATCTCCAGCTTTGGCAAGATTAGCTATGTTTTTCTTGACTTTTTACAAATCATGGTAGTAATGCACCCCTCTGCTTTTATTTTATGAACAGTGCTGCACTGGTATTAGCTAGAACAGCTGCTGATTCAGTTTTCGTGGTTAGTACTGCCAAAGTCACCATCATTTCAAGGAAAAGAGTAGGGAAAATGGGATAGTGAGAGGAAAATAACAAAATGAAGCTGAACCTCATGTTTGACACCTTGACGTTCTGCTGTATTCTGTAGTGAGAGGTTCTTTGCCTTTCTGTTTTAGTCCTTGCTGTGACTCAAGTTGATTGGTGCCTGAGAATCACTGCTGTCCTTAAGAAAAGGGAATAGTGCATTTGATGAACTGCGTGCAACCGTGTTGTTTGATCAGTTGTCACTTCCACAAGTTTTACAAACGGTTTTATTTGTGACTGTAAGAAATCGGTGAAATCAAACAGAACAAATACCGGTTTAAGTGAGAAAAGGCATAAGAAAGTCAAACCCCCAAGAAAACCAGCAGAATCTGTGACTTTCTTTTTTCTCATTCAGTTTAGACTTGATCTCAGCTGTTTGCACACAGCCTCACTCTTCCTATTGCCATGGCTGGACCTCCTTAACCTCCCTGTTATCCATGCAACTGTGCTTACACCTAAAATACCTCATTACTGTGCTTTACCCTATTAGCTTTGCACTATTTCATCTTGACAATAGGCTGCAAGCAGTTATCCTGAAGCGTGTTCTTTTCAGCTGTAGCTAAATGTAGGCTTTGGGTTCATTACTCACTAGAAGTTGACAGTGCTGCTCTTCATTTAGTTCAAGGCAAACAATTCTGTTCTTCAGCAAATGCTAATAGACTTTTTTGGTCAGTGTTGCATCCAGTGTGATCTTATGTGCATACATTATAAAGTGGTATGTTGTTCCCTCTGCATTGTTTTATGTTCCCCTGCCATGCCAATGGTGCAGCAGACTGTAAGAATTCTTTCAAGGGGTGTGTGGAAGTTTCCATTTCAATTTGCTTTTTAATTCTGCATTTACTGCTGGGTGGCAGGCTGCAGTTAAATTGTTGTATCATATTAGGAGTCTCTAAATTAGAAAAAATTTCTCCTTTTCTTGCCCATAGGTATTGGGGGCATTGCCAGCATGCCATCTCTTACAACTGTTGCCCCAGTGCCAATGGCATCTATTCCAGTAGTAGGAATGTCTCCACCATTAGTATCTTCTGTTCCTGCAGCAGCAGTACCTCCCCTGGCTAATGGAGCTCCTGCTGTTATACAGCCTCTGCCTGCTTTTGCTCATCCTGGTATGCTACGTACTGAGACTCTGTTTACTTTCTTGCTAGTAACAAACTATTTTGCAACTTTTCTTTGGATCCAGAGAACAGTAGACACGGAATTAGCCATTCTAACTTAATTTAAAGAATGACTTTGGGTAAGGACTGTGCTTTGGTTTAGCCCAATGTAATTGGTAAGCAAACTTGTATAAAAGTTACAAGAAGAAATATGGACATACCGTACTGTAACAGTCAGTCATGTTGAGCAAAATATTAACCCTGTTATAACAGCAGTGTGACAAATCTAGCTTGCCAGTAAACTGTTGCCTAGAAATTGGTCCTCTCCTATCTGTTTATAACTATTGAAGTGCTGCTATTTGTTGGGTTTACTTTAAAATACTGGAATACATATGATTTCTAACATTAATCACAATATAATTTGATATCAACAGTGTTTGCATAAAACTGCAAAAGTAAAAGGACATGAGAGAAGCGCCTGTGTGTTTTCACCTATTTTTGTTAGACACTGTTAACTTATCTTAATGTTTTTAAAAGGGATACCATCAAAAGAACCATCCTATTTGATGTTAGGAACTAAATGAATGTCATTGAAATTCTACAGTTTAAAATGCTAATACTAATAAATACACTTATTCTCTTATTTACAGCCACATTGCCAAAGAGTTCTTCCTTTAGTAGATCTGGTCCAGGATCGCAGCTAAACGCAAAACTGCAAAAGGCACAGTCGTTTGATGTGGCTAGGTAAGTTGGCATGGGATGAGTGTATGTGTGTATCTTCCCCAGAGTTACAAAAACTACTTCTTTTTCGCAAAGTCATTTTCTGAAATATTTACTTGCAGAAATCAATTCCTGCTGAGATACTACTTCAGGATTTCATAGGATGCTGTGGTTTTACAGGGACTGCTCCATGAGTAGTGAATTATTGAAATATAATAATTAACTATTACAGTATGTGTTGACACTATTTTCAGACTCTTGAAAACTTAATTTTTAGAAAAGCATTTGCTGCTGTAAACGTAATCTGCATTGTATAATACTGCATAGGCACTCCTCCTGTTAGTGTGAAAACATAACAAGTAATATTCTTTAAAATTAGCAACTCTAGGGTTATTTTTAAAAGCAAAATATTTAATAGTTCTCATATTTTAAATGCACTTCACATAAGTGTTTCTTATATATTCTTCAAGTTTTGCATGAAAAATCACCTAAAAGGCTTTTAGATTATTTCAAGGCCTAGGAAAAAGTATGGTCAGGCAAAATGTATTTTACTATGGTCTGAAGAAATGTATCTGACAAAATAAAACTTCATTAGAGGAGGTAAGATAGTAGTTTCCCAGTGTCTTCACAAATCAGAACTTTCTCACAGGTCTATATTACAGATTTTTTTTGCAAGATGCAAATGAGTTGGGAAATTATTTAATTACCTATTTTTATTTTCATTTTTCTTCTGCAGGTTTTTCTTGTGCCCTGGTATTAGATAAGCACACTACTGATCATTGGCAAATAGGATTAAAAATCTTTCAAAACAAACAATTCTTTTTCTCTTTGAAATCTAGTACTGTCGGGAACGTAGTAGCGATGCTCTGATACAATTTCCAGAGGTACAAGAAGTTATCTGCTTTGTCTATAACTACACTTTTAGTATTTATAATGAATGCAGTTCAGGGAACTTCAGCTGAAATGGCTTCTAGATATTCCATAAGAGGGCTGTCATAGTTTTGGGGTTAACTATATCTGAATCTTGCTGGTCAATTTTATTGCCAACAGAGGCCTGAACCTCAGGCGAGATGACTTCTTTTCCAAGGTGAAATTGCATGGTTCTCTGAATCTGCTTGGGCCAGGGTTGGAACTTCCTTAGTTCAATCACAGTTACTTCAGTAACTCTGCAACGTCTGCCAGCACTGAAGGGGATATTCCTTCACAGGCTGCTGCTAATGCCGAGTGATGAACTGGCGTGTGTCTTCAAGTTTTATTTTGGAGAAAACAGATAGCAAGGTAATTGATTTGCAGAGTTTATGGAAAGGAAGGAAGAAGAGCTAAGTCCATTAAATTGAAATGTAAAGTTGAAGTTGTTGTTGGTTTTTTTTCTAGCTGAGAATTATTTTGAATTTTGTGAAGGGTGAAATTCAAAATTCCACTTCCGGTGCTTTTATCACTCTGCCGAGTCACCAGTAGTGAACTCTTGGCATACGTGGTGTTTGGCATACATGAGTCAAGTGTTTGTCCTCCAGCATTTTTTCTTCCAAAACTACCATTTGAGTATCTATGAAGGAGAGTTTCATCGCTTAATGTACAGTAACCTTACTTCACAGGTCAAGGTACATACATATGTAAGACAAAAGTAGACTTAATGTGTGGAAACTCCAAATCTAGCAAAACTGGTGAGGGAGGAATTCACATGGATAAAACTTAAATAGTCAGCTTTTTTTTTGGTTTGTTTTTTTTTTTTTGAGTTTCAGTTCTGTTTTCATTCTTTAAGACGCAGCTTGTTTTTGCTTTGCTCCCATGAAAGAGTATTATTAAAGCACAATAGTCTGGAAATAAAAAATAGAAATAGAGGTATTAGCTGTTTTGGGTCTTGTCATGTGAGAATAGGATATGAGGTCAATTAGTAGAGTATTCATATAATCCTTCTCAGCTCAACTTTAGAAAGATCTTGCCATGCTATCTGCTCAGTGGACCAGGGAAAAGGGATTTGGTGGTTTTTTGTTTGTTTGTTTGTTTTTTTTTTACTGTAACTTGGTATGGTGTTACAAATGCTTATTTAATCTGGCTGCTTCCCCCCCCAACCTTAACAAAAAAGGACAAAGTTCGAATGTCTCTAAAGGCAGAAAAACTGTGCTCATTGTTTTTTCAATATGAAGACTTGTCAGCCTTCAAGCATGGAAAATTATAGCTACAAATAACAGCACTCAACCCATTATGTGGATGAATTAGAACTGGGAATATTACATTTGTCAGTTGAGTTCCATTGTGAGAAACTTCGATTGCTTTCATGTGTAGCTTTTTCACAGTTTTTTCTATGTTTTCAGCATATTTTACATTTGTTTTCCTTAATCAGCTTATGAATTACTTGGCTAAGACAACCAGTTAAAAGACAGGGTAAAATGAAATATTACTTCTGCTGACTGTGGGTAAGGCATTTCCTATTATATGTTTAGGTAAAAGCTTTTAGCTCCTCTAAACTGTTTAGGTTGCTTAATTCCCTGCTAGTAAAGAAAAATGCAAAACTCTTAGGCCTGTCATTCAACTATACCAAAAAACACCTTCTAAGACACTGAATTATAAGTGTTTTCAAACAAGAAGTCAAAGCTGTTGTGGTTTCAGGAATAGAAGAGAATATTTGTGAAAAGAACCATTTCAGGCATAAAACTTGATCTCTGTGCAGCACTTCATCCTGTTGTACCTGTTAGCTTCATGTGTTTAAATTTAAAATTATATTCCCCCCCCCCTCTTGTCCTTTTTCTAATTCTAGTGTGCCTCCTGTGGCAGAGTGGGCTGTACCTCAGTCATCAAGACTGAAGTACAGACAGCTGTTCAATAGCCATGATAAAACAATGAGTGGACACTTAACAGGTATTGAAGCGGTTTTTGTTGTCTCCTTTTTTTGAACTGTAGAAGGCCAATTATAATAGTATTTAGAATGCTATTCAGATAGTAAAAGACTCTCGTCTCTTTCTGCTGTCACCATCAATATTTTTCTGTTCAAATCTCCCAACTGCTTAATGATCTTGTTTAGGAGCAAATATTTATTGTAGCTGGGATCATTTTATCACCTTCTTTCCTTTATTTTCTGCAAAGTAGGTTGGCACTGGGAAATGATTCTTGGAAAGGGTACAATGGGTTATGTGAAAACTTGTGCAGCCATTTACAGTGTTCAGTTCATCCACGGATGAGGGTGCCTATCCAGTTTCAGAAATAAACTAGAGTGGTACACTAGCTTAGTTTTACTACTTCTGGGAGCATCTCTTTGCCTTTCATAGCTTTTTTTTTTTTTTTTTTTTAAAATCTGAATGAGTGTTGTGGAGAAGGTATAGTTATGTATTTTTTACTATTTTCCTTTTGGGCATAGGGGGGGTGGGGCTAGGGATAGCAATATGTATAGCCTGTTCATGCTGATAAAATCTCTTCAGTGTTACCTATTCAGAAGTAAGCTCTGCTTGTGCAGTAGCTACTTGGTAATGCAAGAAAAGGAGAAAGTTGCTTATTTGTTCGTTAATCCTTGTTTCACTTTGTTAGGTCCACAAGCAAGAACTATTCTTATGCAGTCAAGTTTACCCCAGGCTCAGCTGGCTACCATATGGTAAAAATACATCTATCAATTTCTACCAAACTGGAAACTGTATTTAAACCTCTATACTGTATACTGTGGGTTTTTTCTCCCTTTTCAATCTCCCTCCACTGATAAATCATTATACGTTGCTCTTTTTAATGTATAACTTTATAAAACAAAACCTGCACTGCTATGCTTATATTAATATTACTTCACAAAAGTAAAAAAGAGCATCATTTGTGCTATGCACATAGACGTTTCGTAAGTTGGGTTTCAGTTATGGGGTTTTTAGGCAGACCAAATGTTCAGCCTCCTATGTCTTCCACATCCTTGGCCATATGTGATACAGCACCAGTGAAACTTAAACATTTTCACAGGTAGTACAAAACGAAGCTTAATCCAGAACCGTACTTTCTTTGGGGCTTGTCTGCCTTTTATGCGATTTTCTAAGGGCTTATTTCCAAGGGGCTGGAGTTACATACGTTTAAAATAATGGATTTTAAAAGGATTTGTCTTGGCTTCTCTTTTTCCTTTCAGCTTCTTGTTTGCTGAAGTTTATTGTGTTCTTATTGTCACATGGGTTAGCCTCTCTCCTCCCTCATATTTTGGAAGGTCGTGCTTTCCTATGTACTGTGTAATGTTTCTACTTTATTACTTGGGTAGTACTTGGTTATTGTTGATTTATGGTTATCTTTGGTGACTTCTCAAATGGCCTTCATGCTGCTTCCGAATATTTTTAATTTCCAGTTGCCTTCTACAAGTTATTTCTAATTAACTTCTATACTTTATAAGTCTTTGCTTGAAAACCATTGTCAACTCACTAACCCATCTGACTTCTGCGTGAGGATGTCAACTGTGTTGTCACTCTAAGAAGGCGGTTCAATGGCACTTGTTTTCTTTGCTAAGCACTGATGTTTTTGTTATATCTTAAAAAGCCCTCTCTCCTTCTGTTTTCTAACAAAGCTACTGTAAGGAAAAAAAATATCAACCCAATCATCCAGCAAATGATTAGCCAAAAAATACTCAGCTTGTTGCCAGCACTGAAGTAGGTTGTGTGGGCAGGTGAATGACGTCAGTGTACTCCAGGAGTTCTAAACATAACTCTTTTAATTTTTGACATTCAAAACTGCCAAGTCTATTGAGATAAGGAATGGATTTTACAGCTTTTGTTGTCCTAAGTATTGCTTCCTTTCCTGATACTTATTCTCTGGCAGTGGAACTGCTGTTGCTGTTCTCTGGGGCAAGATGTGTCAGCCTGTATTGGGGGTGGATTCACTGACTCACACACAAAGTGAAGTACTGATGTGCAGGGTGTCAGCTACTCTGTAGCAGCTGTTTTGGTATTTCCGTAACAAAGATGTGGACCCAGACTCTTAGGATAGCTGATTAATTATATCCTTGCATGCTAGATTTTCATTCTACTGGCTTGTTCTTGTGCCCCAGCTGAGGAGTTCAATAACACAAGCATGGATCAAATTGAGCTATAATTGTCTTCCAAATTTAAATCCCATAAACAAAGTCCTGTACCTTGAGACATCAAAAGAAGGTATCAGTTTCTTACCTTTGATTTTTCACAGTATCATGGGAGATTTTCCTGCATGATTAGAGTGCAGCATGCTAGAGAAACAAAGCTGATGTTTAGGCTGTTAAATTTTGTCCAATGCCACCCTAATATGAGTAAAAGCATTTTGTGCATCTGTTGGAGCGCTGGTTTTAGGCCATCCAGAGGTGTTACTCCATAATTTTTAATATGTGCATAATGCTAAAATGTTTTTGTGCTTGTCAGGACTAGAATGTTAATGGCTTTGATTTTAATGCAAATGTGTGCTCTGGAATGTGAGATAGGAGCCTCCGGGGAAGAAGGAGACCAAACCAGAAAGTTCTACCAAACATCTGAGCTGATTCTTTTCTAAATGATACTGTGTAATGGATGTTCACAAGGTGTTCAAGAAAACTCCATCGATTAATGTTACTTATATAGCATATGGTACAGGCAACACTCAAAGAGCAAGTGAAGTAGAAGCCATGGCTATAAGGATAGTTTCAAGGCAGACATGCATGAGAAATTTGGGAAATAGTGACGCATTTGTTTTTTGCTTTTTATTTGTTTTGAAGAAACAAAGTAGTGTGAAAAAAATAGTGAAAAATTGAATTGATTTGGAACTGAAAACGTTAAAACTATGCTTTTTAACAGCGATTTTTAATATTTAAGAATTTACTTACTTTGTACCTTTCCTTTAAAAAGGAATCTTTCCGATATCGATCAAGATGGAAAACTTACAGCTGAAGAGTTTATTCTGGCTATGCACTTAATTGATGTAGCTATGTCTGGTCAGCCGCTACCACCTGTACTGCCTCCAGAGTATATTCCACCTTCATTTAGGTAACTGGTTATAATTCTGGAATCTTGCTCCTAAATTTTTATTTCATTTGGGAAAGCTGTCCTGTGAGTGTAAAGTACAAGAGATTGAAAAGTAACCCCTCTCCTTTTTGTACTGCATCTATGGCACAGAGTGCCTTCTCGTCGGGTAATGCTTGTCTAGCTTTTCGGTTTTATTACAAGAACTGGATGCTGGAATTAGCAAGAATTCCTTGTGAGAATATAGTTTTGGTCAATGTTTTATGCTAGCGTACCTTCCAAAACTTACTCAGTCTGGCCATATAAATTTAAAGTGTTATAGTTCAAGCTTAGACTTTTGTAGAGCAAATGGGATGTATTGGAATTCAAAGCATGCTGTGAATTTACACTAGCAAATCCAGACGTCTTTTGATGCAGTTGTATCTGTGAATAGTACTGGGGAGTCGTTACTTCTGTTTCTCTGTTTCACTTTTTTGTGGAGAAATGGGTGGGAAGACAGTAACAGCAATGGAAAGAAATGTTTGCATACAATCATAGCTTCATGTTCTTTAAGTATCCTCCTGAAGATTACAATTTTTTTGTTTATTCCATGTAGGGTCTTGTTTTTAGCTTGACTGTAGTGAGCTCTTCCTCTGTCTTTGCAACTTTTGCTATAGTTTGTCAGCATTTCCCCAACTTCAGACTGGTTACGAGTAAGAGATCTTGGGGACAGGGTTGAACACATCTGTAAGTTGCACGGTGCTGTGAACTTTGAACTAGGTTTCTCAGGTCAGCAGTGTATGCTGTTGGGACTCTGGAGGATACTGTTATCTTAATGGCGATGGCCGAGTAAAATCCTCTGGGCAGCACTGAGGGAACATTAACTATCATTAAACATTACATCATTGCATTTAATTTATGATTTCATCGTTAAATCATAAATAAATTTGGCAGGCATAGGTTCTTTTAAGCAACTTGGAATTATTGTTTTATTGACAGAAGAGTACGCTCTGGTAGTGGCATATCTGCTGTAAGTTCAGTATCTGTAGACCAAAGGTTACCAGAAGAACCAGCATTAGAAGAAGAACAGCAGCAACTGGAAAAGAAATTACCAGGTGAGCAAGCAAAAACAGAGGATGTATTGTGTGCTGTTATCAGAGAGGTGTTATCATCAGGTTATATGCTGTGGAGTTATAAAAGCTTATTAAGAAATGTTTTCTTTCCAGATCAGTTTGTGACATGTCAGAGGCATAACCAAGACACTGTTTGGCCCAGCTAATTCCTGACTGTGGCATGATCCTTTGTGTTAGTAACAATGGAGTTACGGACAACATTCAGGCTGCTTATCTTATGCACTCTCAACAGAGGCAGCACTTTGCAGCCCTGTTATAGGACTGCAATGAAAACTTTTTACTACCTTCATCTTCTGACTTAGGTGGAGTGTAGTTTGGCTTACGTACTCTTTAAAAGATCACAAGCACATATACAGAGGCCTGTTTCATTGCAGTCTGTGTAACAATATGATTTTTTATACAAGCTTTAGCAGCTCTGCTTTTGGGAAAATTTGAGAAAAAAAAAAAAAAGGGGGGGGGGGGGGGGGGGAGGGTAGAAAGCTTCCTAGGTGCTAAATGGCTAAATGTTAGGAACGTCTTAACGCTTCTGATCATCCCCTCACTCTTCTTTGTACTTTCTTTACTTTTGCTCTATTTTATTCTAAGATGAACAGAATGTCACACAGTTTAAGATGTAGCAACATGACAGATTTATACAGCGCCATAATAATGCTTTTCTGTTTTGTTCTAAATTATTTTTCAATTTTTTTAATTGATTGCTAACACTGTATTGCCTCTTTGATCACAGCTTAGATCTGAGTCGATGTTTTAGAAGACTTTCCACAGTAATGCCAACATCCTTCCAAAAATCTATTAACCATTTTAGAGCACATGACTGTGTGTGTTTAGTTAGGATTATTTTTATTCCCTACGTACACTACTCTGTATTCATTAACATCTGAATTTCCTCTGCTTTTTCATTGCCAGATCGCTCAGTTTTGTGAGATTCTTCTAAAGCTCTTAGAACAGTCAGGTTTTTATTTTAATACCATGACTATCTGGCATCATCTGCAGAAGCTGTCTTGTTACTTTTCAATCTCTTCCAGATCATTGTTGCACACTGAACAGCACAATTGCTAGTACAGATCTTTGAAGGAGGCTACTGAGAATCTTTCTGTCATTGTGAAAGTTGGTAATTTATTTCACCCCTTAATTCTAATCTTTTTAACTGTTTGTTAGTTCCCAAGGACCTTCTGTCTCTTTCCATACCAGGTTAGTTCACGGGATCCGCATGTGAGCAATTCAGACACAACTCTTGTCTTTGGTTTGTGTTTTATAACTAACTGCTGCTGGCAGTCTGCTGGGTAATTCCTGGCTGTAGGAGGATGGAGGGAGATAGCAGGGACTGCTGAAGCAGACCTCACTGAGGTCTCACAGTGAAACGTTTGGTCACAGGTGTGGTATGACTCTCCCGTATTGGGTCTTTGAGGCCTAAGTCTTGTGTCTCTGGAATCAGAGGATTTTGGTATGCAGTTTGTAGTGTCAGGAAGGTCAACCGCTGCCTTGGCTTAGTTTCTTTATTAGACTTCAAAATCACGCAAGTATTCTTCTGTTGACCTTATCTTTTTCAACTTGCTTATTGATACAATTGGGTCTATTAGACTCGAGAGGCAACTCTTTCCTGCATTCCTTCTTCCATGGTATCATGTTTAGTCATGTATACTAACTCTCTGTCTATTGAAGCCTCTGCTACTTTGCCCAGCGTGGGAGTAGACTGACTTGTCTGTAGCTTTCAGGATCATTATACTGTCTTTTCTTAAAGACCGGTGTTGCATTTGTCATCTTCTAGTTTTACAGCACTGACGTAGATTGAAGGATGGATTGCACAGCACGGCTAGTAGTTCATGAATTTTGTATTTGAACTATGGATTAGCATTGTCTGGGTTTGGCAACCTGTTACTCTTAATTTTTTGGTTTTATTTTTGTTTTAAAGCCATTTCTGTTTTCAGTTAAAGAGGAACGAGAGTGTATAAGCCTTTTACTGTATTTGATGTACAGATTTTCCATTGTAAAGATCACTTATAATAGCGAATGTTGTCATGCTTCTTCATTGGCTTTGCTAAATCTGGCTAGGTGTTGGGTTTTTTTCCTTTTGAGGCATTTAAAAGAGTTTTTATTGTTGGCTTTTATAACCTTGTAGAAGCTTTCCCTAGAAGCATAGTAACACAAGCCAATAGCTACTTATTTAATTTGCTGGAAGTTGTTCTCTTCTATTGTCGTATTTTGGGTATGCTTTGTTTTGTTATCTCTGGTAGCTACCTTGATTTTGCTGAGTAACCATACTAGCTTGTTGGGCAGCCATCTTAGAACCTGGTGTTTCTTCTTAGTGGTATATGTTTTCTGAGCCCTGAACATGGTATATTAATGTCCATGCTACTTGAAAATGTTTTGCCCTTCTTGACATAAATCTTTTTTTTCCCTTTTTTTTCCCCTCCCTTTTTGCTTGGTTTCCTAAATCAGTGGGGGTTATAAGCACATTCTCTGTCTATCAGTCTGTATCTTAATATTCTTTGAACCCAGTGGCTAATTTTAAACAAACTTGACAGACATCAAAGTGGTTAAATTTTTTCAAGTTTTATGAAAATTGGTGATTGGCAATAGGAGAGGGGGCCAAACTTAGAAAAAGACAAGAATTCAACTGGTTCAACAGATGTTGGTCCAACGTGTCAAACAGTTAGTGCATGCACACTTTGAAGTAAGTATGTGCTATCTCTTGACTTGACTTGCATCTCAAAAATGTACATGTTGGATACGTAGGGAGAGAAATATAGAATATGGGGTATGGGAATGGGACATATAGAGTATGAAAAGAAACAGAAGGTGAAGTGGAAAGAATAATTTGGAGGAACTGTGAGGGAGGAGCCTAGGAATGTGGAACAGGGGAAGGACAATCCCTGATATTGCAGAAGAAGGTCAGGGAACCTGTGCTGGAACTGAGGTCATTCTTTTAGGACAGTGAGTGATGAGGGTGCGAATCTGCAGGAATCCAGTCTTCCTGAGTTCAGCTGCTCAAGAACTTAAGCAAACCATTTCTTTTCCTGACAATAATGAGTAATCTTATGAGACTAGCAAGTTTAAATACATTGTGGTCATTTGCATAATGGCTTTTCGATAATATCATCAGCTGAATCCTTTGCCTTGTAGTAATTGAAGCGTTGGTTCTTGTACTGCTACTATTATCAAATGTATAGAGGAACTCCAGATCCTGTGTCCTCACAGAGGATTATCTGGTGAATGGTTTGTCTAAATGATACCCGCTTGTTGGGCTTTGTGGAGAAAACTATGAGCCTGAGGAATGGGAACTGAAATTCCCACCTTGTTTTCCTAAGGATGTAGGTTTAAGGGGATCTACAATATAAATGCGAATGATAAAACCTAGAATTACCTGTAGAGCTATATTATCAGTACTTGAGAGCTGCATCTAGTACTGTTGGAAAGTTGTTTCACTTTGATTCAGCATATATGGATTATTTCTTTTTTAAGTCAGTAGCAGAGTTTAATTCTCCTTTGCCCCATGTTTCCACACATTAAAGTTACATTTGAAGATAAAAAACGGGAGAACTTTGAACGTGGCAATCTAGAACTTGAAAAACGGAGGCAGGCTCTCCTGGAACAGCAACGCAAAGAACAAGAACGTCTAGCACAGCTGGAACGGGCAGAGCAGGAAAGGAAAGAACGTGAGCGGCAGGAGCAAGAACGTAAGAGACAACTGGAGCTAGAGAAACAGTTGGAAAAACAACGGGAATTGGAACGGCAGAGAGAAGAGGAAAGGAGGAAAGAAATAGAAAGAAGAGAGGTAACCAACTGGATAAAAGGAAGGTGGTTATGTCACTGACAGCTGTGTTTGATTAGAACAAAATGTAATGTGTACATTAAAATTTTTGCCATCATTTTTAGTAAGCAAACATTTAAAGAATGAACTTAAATTTCTGCGTTTTTGAAGGTAAGGAAAGAGTCGGCTACCTCTTTCTTTACTTTTCATGTGAAATGAATGGATGAGACATTTAGATCTAGGAAAACGTGCTCCTAACCTCTGACTTCTTTAAAAATAATAATAATAATAATTATTATTTTCTTTGACATAAAGAGATGCTTGAATGAACGAAGAAAAACTCATGGGCATTGGTGGCATTCATGATTTTCCTGTGATGAGTTAATTTGTTAAAGAAAACACATACTGGTTAATTTAAAAAGCTATTATTTTCTCACATTGCCAAATAATGATGAATTCAGTGCAGTAGCATTTTATTCTTTGCAAAGCTGCAGAATGTCTGATGTTGGAGGTCGGAAAGAGATTTGATGCTATCCCGGAGAGTTCTTGAAGTCTTAATATGAAACCACTTGTTAAATCAGAAAATTGGATCTTGGGAAACTGATTAAAATGGAGTGATATTCTGTTTAGTCACCTATCTGCTATACAGTGAAGCCCCATTTCACCAGTGCTTTCAAGTGAGCTTTTAAACAATTGAGCAATTTGTGTGCTTAAATAGAGGCACATTTTTAGTCCGCAGTTTAGCAGTGTGTTTATATTAATGTTCTAATTGCACATTAGAATGTGAATATCAGCAACTAGATATTGCACATTAGAATATGAATATCAGCAACTAGAATAGTTTCTCAAAATAGATCTTTCATATCTTTTTTAATTTATTTTTTTTAATGCTGTAGGCTGCAAAACGGGAACTTGAGAGGCAACGGCAACTTGAGTGGGAGCGTAATCGTCGGCAAGAACTACTAAATCAAAGAAACAAAGAACAAGAGGACATAGTTGTTCTGAAGGCAAAGAAGAAGACCTTAGAATTTGAGCTGGAAGCTCTAGTAAGTGATAGCTTTGCAGATAAAACACACAAGCACAGTAGTGACTGTGATATGGCCATGTTTATTTTCTATAATTTCAACTTTTAAATATGGAATAAAAGTACTTTTTAGATCCTGACTTGCATGGCAAACCATTCTGGTAAAAAAGAGAGATACTGTTCTTTTTTTTCCTAAAGAATGATAAAAAAAATCAGTTGGAGGGAAAGCTTCAGGATATCAGATGTCGGCTGTCTACCCAAAGACAAGAAATTGAAAGTACAAATAAATCTAGAGAACTGAGAATTGCAGAAATCACCCATTTGCAACAGCAGCTACAGGTGAGAAAACGTTCTCTAATTTTGTTCTTAGCCTTGCATTTTGGCCTCCTCAACTGCATCAATATCCTAAGCAAACTTGCCACAATATATGATGTGTTGTTTCTTGTACATAAGGAATTGTTGTAGATAATTTGTCATTCTTTTAAATGAATGTTCTTCAGACATGTCTAGGAATTGCTTCCTACACTTGAAGGTGTGTCTGTGATTATCATGTCATTCTCGTGGAATCCTGTTGTGAGGAGGAGTAAATAGTTTGGCTGAAGATGTTAAAGGGTTTGGGGGGATGAGGAGAATGAAATTTTACAGCATGTATTTTTGTTGGCAGTGATTGCTGTTTGTGTGCTGAAAGAAAGAATTGACTTCAGTGAAGTGGCTTGTTGATGATGCTTTTTTTTTTTTTTAATTATAAAATAATGAACTTTCAAAATTGAAGTTACCAGTTAAACCAGTTAGTTCTTGGTCTAACCCTGACATTCGTCTTTCCTACTTCTCCATCTAAAATTCTGGGTAAAATTAAAGATGGAATTGAGTAGATGTCTGCTTTTAGTGAAAGAGTATTCTTTGCAGTTTGTAAAGGTTTCTAGATGAGTTGTAGTATCTGATTTAGGGATTTTAGTCTTTGTTAAATATTTTATATTGCTTGAAATTAATTCTTGACCAGTAATGGGGGCTCTCAGTGCTTTTCTACCACTACAAAGAGAATCTCACACTTACGTTATGAGGGCTTAGGTGTAAAACCTGTCTTAAAACCTAATCCTACTGTTCCATTTCAACTTTCTAAGCATAATTAATATAGTACATTCGTCTGAACAAAACCAGAACTTGAAAGTTCAGGTTTTTTGTTTTATGTATGAGTATTTTTTTGACTTTTTTTTTCTTCTATCTTAAAACATTTTATGTTTCTATTGAAGTTTTGTGTGTTTCTATTGAAGTTTTGTGTACACCATTACACCTTTCACAAGATATCTTTCTTTTGGCAGCAGCTTGTTACAAAGGGTATAATTTAGGGATCATTCTTGCACAGTGTTTGTGTCCACTTGATGCAAACAATAGCAAACAAGAAATGCTACTAAGGGACGCTTGTGACATAAACAATTGCCATCATTAGGCTTGAAACCACTCTTCTCTCTTTAATGAAATGCTTCTGTATTGGCAACTGAAAATGAAGTCAAACAGCATTGAATCAAGTGTAGGAAATTGTTACACTTAGCAGTACTGGCTCAAAGAGACAAAAAACTGACTATGCTTGATAAAATGCATGAAAAAGCCCCCATTTACCTGAATAAGTTAAAGACTACTGATCTTATGTGCACAGCCAATCTCCATGTAAAAGCAACAACCACCTGAATTTCCCTCTAACCCTTCTAATCCAAAAGCTTTCCATAGAAATGGTCTAAGGTACTGTAACTCACTTCAGAAGAAGCTAAGCAGCTACATAGCCATTGATAGATAAATGCTATTTCAACAAATTGAATGGAATTCATATCCTACTTTCATATGTCATTTCTGTTAACTTGGTAATTTTTGTTCAGTTAGCCTCTGCAGAAAAGGTAAAGTATCTCTTTGCTTTTGTCATAATACAACAAATTAAGAAGGAAAAAATATGTTACAGTAAAGAGCTGTAAGTCATTTATCATAGAATCATAGAATCATTAAGGTTGGAAAAGACCTCTAAGATCATCGAGTCCAACCGTCAACCCAACACCACCATGCCCACTAAACCATGTCCCTAAGCGCCTCATCTACGCGTCTTTTAAATACTTCAGGGATGGTGACTCAACCACTCCCCTGGGCAGCCTGTTCCAATGTTTAACCACTCTTTCAGTAAAGAAATTTTTCCTCACGTCCAATCTAAACCTCCCCTGGCGCAACTTGAGGCCATTTCCTCTCGTCGTATCGCTAGTTACTTGGGAGAAGAGACCGACACCCACCTCGCTACAACCTCTTTCAGGTAGTTGTAGAGCGCGATGAGGTCTCCCCTCAGCCTCCTTTTCTCCAGGCTAAACAACCCCAGTTCCCTCAGCCGCTCCTCATAAGACTTGTTCTCCAGACCCCTCACCAGCCTCGTTGCCCTTCTCTGGACACGCTC